TTCAGCTTGCCTCCGCACAAGCAGTGCTCGTTCCTCGCACTGCGAGCACTACCTCCACGCAGTCGCGATGTATTTCGTCTTTGCACAGCAGATGACGATACATTCCGATCGCTGACATTCACATTGGTAGTGGAAAGCGCGAGTTTTCTACAAGAGCATCATTCATTGCGCGCCCTCACCTGCGGAAACGTAGCCAAGATGTTACATGAACGTAATCTCCACTTCGCCTTTCAACACATCCCAAACGCCCCATGTCTCCGCGGATTTCGATACCACTATCTCCTGCAGCGGCGTGCCATGCATCTTGCGAACACGAAGGAGACCGGTCAACGCGGCCAACTCCGACACGAACTGCGACTCGGCCGAGGGGTGCAGGTCGTCGACCCCGTTGAAGATGATGCGCTCGAGCAAAGGTAGCGACGTCAACCGTCCGCGAACCGTGTTGCCCAGCAGATGTAGCAGTGGAAGGCACTCAGAGAGGAAGACACCGATGACGCGTAGTTGAGGGGCGGTCACGGTGAACTCTGCCCAGCGATTTGTGTAGGTAATCGCTACGCACGAGGAGTACGTGAAGGTGGCGATCCGGAGCTCATCCATGTTTAGCATGTCGATGAAGTCCCGTATGTCCAGGCCTATGGCGCGGAAACGAGCCATGTTGTGAAGATCGGCATGGCGCGGAGATGTAAGAAGGTGGATGCGATCGTAGAGAGGCTCATTGTCCGGTTCCTTCGCTTTGTATGAGCACGTATAGAGCCACCTGCGTCTGGCACGTTCTTCCGTGGTAATGCAAACGGTCTGCAAACCGAAGGACAAGCCGGGCGCAGCGGAGAGGCTAGACGCAAGGAACATATTGACGTAAATCTTCAGGTAGTCGCTTTCTGAATCTGAAAGTACCACGTCTTCTGCTTCTTCACACAATAGTACATGTCTCGCGCAAGCTTCGGGGATCTTCAATCGAACCAGCAGCCGGAGAGATTGGGCAAACTTGATCGGTGCAAACTGTCCCAGTTTGAAGATGAAGAGGCGTAGTGTCTCGGGGGGATGTATTTCTTCTTGAATTGGTCCATGAGGTACGACGTCATATAACTCCAGTACGCGCAGGGAACGCAAGCCGCTCAGGGCTGTCTGCAATTCGTGGCATGAAGGTAGCATGTTGCGGCGCTCCAGATCCTCGTAGTTGACAGTGAGCCTGAGACTCGTCAGATTTGTCGAGAAGATGGGGGAGTTCCAGGGCACAATGAACCCCGCAAGTGTGAGGTGTGTGACGTCGCTTGACCCAGCGAGGGGTGCGGGGAGAACGTGAGAAGGGTTCCTTTTTGTGCTCAGATCTACTTTCCGTAGACTGTGTCGGTAGGCAGCGAGGTTGACCCACGTCGCATAGAGGTCGTCACTAAAGCCATTCATAGATAGACGCTCGGTCTTAGACAGAACAGGTGGGCTAAGCCAGTAGCAGGCGCGAACTAGTATATTATCGCACTTATGCGTCGAGGTCTCCACCGGATGAGGCTCTATTTGAGCTAGAAAGTCGAATGATATGTCGAAGAGGCAGTCTCCGGAGCGCGAAAGTATCGCCGGGAGATAACTGGGGTGAAGGTTGAGGACATCATCGTGCTTGGCCCATAGGCCCGAAGTTCCTGATGCAACCTGTAGATCAGGTGGTAAGCTACGGTATATTCGCAGGCTGATTCTCCTTACGCTACGCCAAGAGCTGCAGACGTGAGCTATGGCCATCCATCCGGAGCGAAAACGCAGAATTTCTCCAACGTCCACGAAGCGTGACGGGGGCCATATATCGCGCACGATCATGAAGATTTCCCCAAGAACTTCTGTCGGCAATCGGCCTACTCCCAAGTGCAAGTTCCGTGCTTTCGCAACCAGCATCTCCAAAGCAGCGAGCTCCAATCTGACTGAATCTTGGGTAAGCTCCGGATCGGACAGGCGCTTGTCGATGAGATGGCCCCAATACGCCCTATGAAGTGCGCATCGTTAGTCGTATCAGATATGTGCGAGGGGCACACCCACGTGGCGTCCGTAGCCTTTTGATTCGTACTCATGAGAGTCGGAAGGGTTCGTGGGTGCACGAGCTAGAGGGGGGAGATGCCTAGAAGCGGCTGTGTCGTCGTGGTTCGAGATGAAGAGCGCTGCGCTCTATCCGCGCGGGCGTTTATGCTGACCCTAACCCTAATTATCATGCTCTGTGTAGTCTACGTTCAGTGACGAGGCCGTGCTCCTCTTTCTCCCCTCGCCGTGTCTGCTGAACTTCTGAGAACTTGCCCTAGCCCCATTGCGGCCGACTGAACTAATACTTCAATTGTCCCTGACCATGATGCCTTACATGGTACTAGTGTATGTACATGATCATACCGGATGTTGTCGTATCGTAGGCGAATGAAAGTTGCCATCGCGATAGTCCGTATCCAAATACAGGCTGAGAATATAGGATAGATACAAAGGTGACTGCGACGACTATCAAAGCCGAACTCGTTATGCGAACGTGATAGTGATCTCTTCTCGCAAAGAACCCCAGATGCCCCATGCTCCTGCGGTCTTTGATATAACTATCTCCCGCAGCGGCGCACCCTCATCCTTTCGAAGATGAACTAAGCCCACCAAGGCGGTCAACTCAGGGATGAAGTCGGCATCGTTTGCGTTCGTTTCGTCGATTCCGTGTAAGACGATGATCTCGAGTAGAGGGAACACCGTGAAACGGCCGTCCAGCGTGTCCATCATGGAGTGCAGAAGAACTGACGAGTTGGAGAGGGAAAATCCAAGTCTTTGTAGGGCTGGCGTCCGCAACGAAAGCTGAACGAAGGCGGGGTGCTCGAGGAAGAGGCGCCGGGGTAAGGTGGCGACGCGCGTCTCTTCGATGTTCATGGCGTCGAGGAAGCCACGCATGTTGAGTCCGTTGATGTCGAGATGGGAAAGATGAGGGCCGTGATACGAACCATAGTGCATTGCATGGGTGAAGGGTTGTGGCAACGAGACCGGTGACCACATAATGATATCGCCTTCAACCGCCAACGCAGACACTCCTTTGCTGTATAGGTAGATCTCGCGCGTCGTGCAAGACTGGAAAGTGGTCGTGGTTCGCAGACAATGTTCGACAAGAGCCCTTTCCATGTCAGATAAAGTATTGACGCCACCGTACAAGCATAGTCGCATGAATCGGGTACAGGTCGCGGAGCATTTGATGTTGGCTAGAAGCCGGAGAGATTGCGCGAATCGGTCAGAAGAGTAGTACGCCTCGGTCTTGTACGTGAAGATCTGCGTGCTCGAGGGTAGGCGTATCTCTTGACTGGGTCCAATCGGTATGAGGTCCGTAAGATCCAGATGCTGCAACGATTGCATTCGGCCCATCAGAGCATGAAGCTCCTCGAAGGAGATCAGTCGTTCTCGTTCACGGAGCCACTCGTCCGAAAACGTCAGGTCGAGCTTGGTTAAATGATCAGAGAAGATGGGGGAGGTCCATTCCGTGTACATTGCAGTCGTTGCCAATATCTCGAGATGGGATAAGTTGGCAAGGGGGGCCGGGAGCTCAAGAGGGGTATTTTCCCACGAGGATATGCACAGCTGGCGTAGATTGGATAGATGTGGAGCAATTGATGCAAGGGTTTCTAGCACTGCAAAATTGCAGCCGCCGATGGACAAATCCCTGGCACGAAGAGCGACAGATTGACAGAGCCAGCCCTGTGCGAGATTGAATAGCCCTTCGTCATACTCCTGTGTTCGTCCTCGGCCCAATTCGATATCCGCTTGCATGGAGCTTTCCTCGATGTCAACCACTATCTCGAGAGGATGACGCTTGGAGCGCGATAGGACGAGCGGAAGGTATTCCAGGGGCGTATCAAGAACATCGCTGTGCTTCGCCCACAGACTCGGAGCTCCCAACGATACCTGCGGTCGATCATTCGTCAAATTTGGGTGTATGTCATTTTAGAAGGGAGGAGCACCCACATCGCGCCACTGACTAGAAACGTGGGTAAGAGACATCCAGCCTGAGCAAAACCGGACTTGGCCGTTCTTGAACAGGCGGGAAGGAGGCCAGCCATCGCGAACAAGCAGAAATATTGACGCGAGCACGTCGGACGGCAGCCTCCCAGTGCCTACGCGACGGTTGCGTAGCTTACGAGCACGAATGACTATCTCGTCGAGCACCTCAAGCTCTGCATCTGCCCAAGATCCCGCAGTAGTCGTATTTCGAGCAGGGATTCCTGAGAACCGCGTGTCGACAAGAGGTCCCCAGAAGGCTCTATTCGAGTAAGTCATGAGCAGCTTGAACCGTGAATACACCAGAAGCGACAAGACAAACCTTGCCTGGTCCTTTACGTGAGCATCATCTCCAGCCATGGAGGGCAGGAGGCAGTCAACTGAAACTCAGAACTCCCAAGCGGCACTGACCGAGCTTTCCCACGTTGTCAACGCGGGTCTCCGGGCCATTCGGATGGGTCGGTTCGAACTGCTTCGGACTTGTTCGGGCGGTCGTCCAGCGGCATCCAGTACGCGTTTGGTACGCGTGACAGAGTCGCTAGAGATCTCTCGATGTGCCGACGCCTCGTATGCGTACGCGCATGTATGACATAAGGTAGACCTCAAGCGCAATCACCATGTCACGCCGGGGGGCGTGATGTCGAATGACATTGCCACTTTGGTAGGGCAGAAACGCAGACAGTACTCGCAGTGCTGCCTGTGCATGCCCGTAGAGCATCGTCAGCTCCAGCTGGAATATCTTGGAGCGGGCGAGGGCGGCTGCCATCCGTTGCGCAGTCGGGTCACGGTCGCGCTGTGACTTGCGGGTCGCGCTTGAGGTCTACCTTACTATAGACGTCGAGTCGTCGAACGGCAGTGACTCTGAACCCCGGCGCAGACTGAGTACAGAGAAATGGTCTATAGTAGTATGACAGTATGTTGTTACAACAGCATTCAATGTTCATCATCTTACACTCCTTCTCTTGTCTATATCATCAAACCCCACCCCCTACTTCTCGCTCAGCGCAGCAACACCCGGCAGCGTCTTCCCCTCCAACAACTCCAGACTCGCGCCCCCGCCCGTCGAAACATGGCTCAGCTTGCTCTCCGCGCCATACTGCGCCGCCAGGGTAGCAGTGTCGCCCCCGCCGACGATGACGGTCGCGCCCTTGGACGCGGCCTCGATCGTCGCGTCGAGCAGCGCCTTGGAGCCGCCGGCGAACGCCTCGAACTCGAAGACGCCCGGCGGGCCGTTCCAGAGGATCGTCTTGGACTCAAGCACGGTCTCTTTGTAGAGCGCGCGCGACTTTTCGCCCGCGTCGAGGCCCATCCAGCCGTCGGGGATGCCTTGCTCGTCGGTCGCGGTGCCGGTCTGTGAGTTGAAGATTAGATTAGATTAGGTGGGGTGATGGCGGTGATTAGATGGGAGGGGGGAAGGGCGCACCGTGGCGTTCTTGTCGAACTTGTCGGCGGTGATGTAGTCGACGGGGAAGACGAGCTTGACGTTGTTCTTCTTGGCCTTGTCGACGAGCGCCTGCACGTTCTCCGCGCCGGCCTTATCGAACAGCGAGTCGCCGATCTACACACACCACGATCAATCAGCTCGAGCCCAGCACAAAGATCTGAAGAAGAAAGCGATACGCACGGCAACGCCCTTGAGCACCTTGGCGAACGTGAAAGCCATGCCGCCGCAGATGATCAGCGAGTTGACCTTATCGAGCATATTATCGATCAGCTGGATCTTGTCCGACACCTTCGCGCCGCCGAGGATCGCGAGGAACGGCCGCTCGGGGTGCTCGAGCGCCTTCGCGAAGAACTCGAGCTCCTTCTTCACCAAGAACCCGCTCGCGCGCTGCGGCAGCTGCACGCCGACCATGCTCGAGTGCGCGCGGTGCGCGGTCCCGAACGCGTCGTTGATGTACACGTCGCCCAGCGCGGTCAGGCCCGCGCGGAACGCCTCGACCTGCGCCGGGTCCGCCTTGGTCTTGTTGCCTTCTTTGTCCTTGACGGAGCCCTCCTCCTCGATGTGGAAGCGCAGGTTCTCGAGCAGGATCACGGCGCCCTTGGGCGCGGCGTTGACGGCCTTCTCGACGTCCGGCCCGACGCAGTCCGGGAGGAAGAGGACGTCTTTGCCGCCGAGCTGCTTGCCGAGTTCGGCTGCGACGGGCTCGAGGGAGTATTTTTTGTTCGGTTTGCCGTCCGGGCGGCCGAGGTGGGACATGAGGATCACCGAGGCGGCACCTGGGCGCACGTTGGTGGATTGGCGTCAAAAAGATGTTAGATTGGAGAAGCTTACCCTGCTCGAGAGCATACTTGATCGTAGGCAGAGCCGCAACGATACGCTACAGATACTATGAGTATGCTGTAGAACGTATACTTACAACGAGAGTAACATACGGCCGGGTTAGTGATGGCACCAGTAGCCTTATCCTGGGGAACATTAAAGTCGACACGGGCAAGCACCCTATCCGCGTCCTCAATATCAGCTCATCGGCCCCACCTCCCCAACATCGCCAAGCACCTACCTCTTGTCCTTAAGGTCGACGTCAGTGATGGAAAGTTTCGAAGAGAGAGACATGGTGGTAGGTGTTGAACGAACGCGGAAGCCCAGCAGCGCTTTTATGCCGACGCGCATGATCGAGCCGCGGCCAACGGCGGACGTGGGCGCACTCTCGACCAATCGAAGACCGCATCTCGTCTCCCACCTCCGAGCACCCAAAAGCGCTCGCGCCTACCCTCCCCGGCCGCCGATTCTATTCTGCACCCCCGCGCCCGTCTCTGCCCGGGCACACACGAATCACGATGGCTTCCAACTCGCTGGGGCTCGATTTGGATGATCAGAAGATGGCTGAGTCGGCGGTGGCTGAGGCGCCTGCCGCCGAATCTGCTGTTGACACTGAGGCTGCCGCTGAGGGCGCTGAGGATGTGACGACGCCTGCGACGCCGCAGACGGAGGCGAAGAAGAAAGAGGCGCCGTATGTGAATCCTGAGCGTGTAAAGACCGGTGGCGCTGCACGGGTCCGTGTGCTTTCTTTCTGGTTTGCATTGGCGTTTGCTAATGGATGTGTGGTAGGATAAGCCTACGGACGATGAGCTACAGGCGCGTATGGCGCGTATACGCGAGCAGAACGAGAAGATCAAGCAACGGCGCGCGGTACGTCTACATCTGCTACATCTATCGTGGCCACTCTTGACAGAATCCTTTGACGAGTAGGACGTCGCGGCAGACGAAGAAGCCTTCCGCAAAACGCAAGAGGTCGACCGCGCCAAGCAGGCGCGCAGCCGCAAGATCCAGACGGAGGTCGACCGCGCGCGCGAGGAGAACGCGCGGCGGAAGATGGACAAGGTCCAGGGCCGCGAGTGGGACTCGGGCAAGAACGTGCCCAGCCACAGCAATAGGAACGCGCAACAGCAACAACAACAACAACAACAACAACAACAGCAACAACAGCAACAACAGCAGCAGCAGCAGCCGGCAGCTAGGCAGCCGCCGCCGCATGTGGCTGAGAATCTGCCGTCGGCTGGGGTGGAGAGTACTACAGAGGGTACTACAGAGGGTACTACGGCGGAGGCTTCTGCGGCTGATGGGTGGGGCGCGGGTGGCGAGTGGGGCGCGGGCGGTGTGTGGGGCGCGGGCGATGAGGCTGCTGCGCCCGCGTCGCCGGAGTCTGGGAGAGGTGGACGGGGCGGACGGGGACGCGGGGGTGATCGGGGCCGGGGTGGCTTTGAGCGAGGGCGCGGTGGCTTTGAGCGGGGTCGCGGTGGCTTTGAGGGAGGACGCGGTGGCTGGGAGAGAGGGCGCGGGGGATCTGAGAGGGGACGTGGTGGAGGTGAGAGGGGACGTGGTGGGGGCGAGAGAGGGCGCGGCAGTGGCGAGCGCGGACGCGGTGGCGATCGTGGACGCGGCGAGCGTGGTGGCCGTGGGCGCGGCGGTCGTGGCGGAGGACGTGGAGGAGCGAGTGGCGGCGGAGACTCTGCCGATACCAAGGACGAAACGAAAACGGACGAGCCAAAGGAAGAGGCCAAAGCGGAGGAGACTGCTGTCGAACAGGTGCCACAGCCAACGGCAATTTGAAATGCTGTCACCTTAGGCGCTCAAACGAGCGCTCAATACGGAAACGGGCTTGTAAGTTAGGAATATCATGCTTGTAAGGATACCAAGGGGGCGTTCTACATAGTGCTCCGAATGCTTAATGAATGGAATTGAATGCGATGCGATACTGTGGTTGGTACATTTTGATGTGCGACACATGGTATATACGTGGAGGAAGGAGATTTAGTCTTCGTCTTGCTTGTGTAGTCCGGAGAGGTCCTTCGTTGATCTATGATCGTCGCGTCAGATTCACACGATGATAAGTCGAGCTGAAGGGGTACTCACTCTACTGGTACACCAAACAAGTCGATCGAGTTGATCTTCGTACTCTCCTCGTCTCCCTGATTAGACTCTACGAAGATCTACGCTCAAGTCAGTCTACGAACGCCCGCGAGATGCCATAGCAAGACGTACATTGAGCGTATTAACACTCTGAAACCTCACAAACCGCAACGGTATCTTCCGCCCATCCTTCACCTGCTCGGGCGTAAGCTCCAGCACCTGCGCGACCTCCGGCTCAACCGCATCCGCGACGTCCGCGAAGTCGATGCTCTGCCTGTTCACGAGCAGCTTGATCTTCTTCGGCGCTTTGGACTCGTCGGTGCATTTGAAGGATATGGAGCGGACGCGGACTGTTTGGTTGAACTAGAAGGGATGGGACAAGTGATTGGTGGATGGGCGGGTAGAGGGAGAGGGAGAGGGAGAGGGAGAGGGGTGGGCGTACGGGGATAGACATGAGCAGCTGTTCGTCGGCGTCGCTCTCGACGTAGACGCCAGTCTTTTGGAGCACGCTCTTGAGGGTATGATCCTCAGTCTCATTCAAGCAATGGATCTGAGAACTGTCCAGGAACTCCAGAAGGGATTTCTAGGAAGGACTCTTATGAGCGTCTACGCGCAAGGCGGATGTGGCGCTCGACTAACGCACGTCAGAGTCAGCCATCGGGAGATCGGGTCAGAGGAAGTGTTCGTGAGTGAGGAGAGCAGCGATTAAAAGCGCGTGAGCTGCGCCGATTGAGGGTGTGCGGGGATGAGAGGCTTGGATATGTTGGTGGCAAAACGCGTCGGAGGTCGTGCGCCTGTTCGACGCGACGCGTCGTCCGCGCTTGCGCGCGTTCGCATGACATCACGCTGTAACCCGCGTCCATGCGCGCCCACTATCAAAGGGACTCGTTTGTAGGCCCAAATATACCAGTAAAAGCTATGATAGATAATGTACGAGACGTATATGCTAGAGCACAAATACGTAAGATATGTAGTTTATGGACGGTACGCGCGATAAAGTACGGCAGCCGATACGGTGAGGAATGCGGCGAACACGAAGAACACGAGGCCTTCCTTGTCCGGGTTTCCACCGGAGAGCAAGTTGCGCAGAGGCAAGAATGCCAGGCCGACGAAGAAGTTCGCTACCCCTATGTTCAAAGTCAGGGAAGTGATTGATGAATGTCAGGAGCATGAGGTTGTGCTTACAGTTGAGGGAGAGCGCTGTCGAGGAGAGAGCGGAAACGGCCTGTTGATGCATGAGTTCCAGTGTATAAGGGATGTGGGCCAATAGAGAGAGCTTACTTCGGTTGGTGATACCTCTGGGATCATAACGAACGGTACAGGGCCAAGGCCTATCGCGAACGACATGATGAAAGTCATGATCGCCACACTTGAAAGGGCGACCGTGCTCGTGTTCAGACCGACGCCGACAAGGCATAGTGAGACGAGGATGCCGCCGATTGAGATGGATAGCAGTTGCTTGCGGCCCATACGCTATAAGACGAGTTGTCAGCATCTATGGCTCAGGCGGTGACTGAGGCTACTGACCTCGATGAGGATGATTGGCGCAAAAGTCATGATCACGTTCACGACTGTGATGCCCAGAGAGACGTAAGGGCCGAGATCAGGCAGAGCACGCCCTAGGATATCGTTGCTGTAGTAGAGAACTATGATCGGACGTTAGTGACTGGCACTTCCCTAGAAGCATGAACGCTTACCCGCATTGACACCAGACACTTGTTGAGAGATCATAGCAGAACACACGACGACCAGCGGACGACGGTACTTCGACATGCTGAACACCTGTCGCATTGATACCGTGTCTTCGCGCTCAAGACGCAGATCAGCTTCGCTCTCTTCCGTCTGACCTTCGCTTCCGAGGAGCGGGTCCTCTGCGTCTATACGCGGCGCGTCAGTATGAAGTATCAAAGCCGTGTATGAGCTGCTTTCACCTTCAGTACCCGCAGCGACGCTCTTATTGAACTTCCAAAGCCGATTCTCCGCCTTGCGAGCCAGATCAGCCATCTTGTTCTGCTTAAGCCACTCAGGCGTCTCAGAAATTGCGGGACTGAGTAGGATCTGTGCGATGGACAGGGCACAAGAGATGAGTAGGACGGCGCGCCATCTCTTTGGTTCGGCGAGTTTGAGACCGATGGCTTGGGTTATCATGAGGCCGATGACGATGGCGAACTGTGTTAGTACACCTGTATGATGAGTATGAGCTGTATGTGTGTGAGAGACGGGGGAGATGCACTGACCAACGCTACCGCGAATCTTCGGCGGCGCGATCTCCGAGAGAAAGATAGGGCCAACGCAGAGACCAATGCCCGCGCCGACACCCGTCAAAAGCCTATAGATGTGTCCATTCGGCACAAACGCTTATTTGAAAGTTGTCATGCACATACCGCCCGAGAACAAGAACGTAGTACTGAGCGGCGATAGTCATGAACCCAGACCCGACGGCAAGGAAGAAGCCAGATATACGCAGGGCGCCCTTGCGACCGAGTTTATCCTGCAGACGGTTCGCACCGAGACTGCCCAGTAGACCTCCGAGAGTGTAGACTTCACAATGCGTCGCACGTCGTATCAGCGGCGTTAGACGAAGCTGGAACAAGAGATGCTTTACCGGAAGTGACGACGGAAAACCCGGCGTCGGTCATCGGTATACATGTTGGCAGACCGTACGCGTAGCCTTCAGTATCGACTACTCGACAGGACAGGACAGCCTGAATCTGGTTCAGCACGGAGATGTGGTAGCCATACTATAGAGAAGAGAGATGCCGTTAGGTTAGCGGCGGGCGGAATAGGAGGTTCGAAGGGGAAAGCGTGCCTGGAACGACGCGATCAGCACCCATGTGCAGACGAGCCAGCCGTACTTTGTGAGTGTGAAGGTCTGCGGCATTTACGGGTCGTCTGGGCGGGTGTGCTTCTCGAGATGGTTGCTCGAGAAGACGAGTCGGGCGAGGTGGTGGGAGGACCGCAGTCGTAGGCTGCCTGCGAGCCGCGTGCCGCGGCAAGTCCCGCGCCATTGTTCTGGGCTGAGCGCCTAAAGCAGAGGCAATCGAAGAATCCACGCCTGCGGCTCTCTTGCGGCAGATTTGCTTTTGTACCCAAGGGTATTGATATTATTCAGTCCCGTATCAGTATGTACAGTACTAGTCGTAAACAAGAGACGACTCAGATAGTCTGAACGGCGAAGGGTGTGGGCTACGAGTCAAAGGAAGGTATACGCGCTGTCTGGCGTGAGGTGTGAAGGCTCGCAATGAGCGTAGAGTCCGGGATGATCTACCGAGAGTCCCAATAATGAGTGAGAACGAAGGCGAAAGCGAGGGTAAGGAGGCGGGTGAAGGCGATAAGTTAGTGTACAGGTGACGAAGTTCGAAGTAGATGGTACGATTCGGCTAAGTGGGGTGGATAGCGAGTGAGAGGCATCGCGGAGGGCGTATATCGTGTGCGTGCAGTCGGGCGTATGTAGTTCTCAGTCAAGCCATGCAGTATCCCGATCCCAGAGAAATGAAAGAGTTCCGATCACATCGGCGCTGTCCGTGGTCTGCCCTCGGAGTTCGAGCGCGACAAGTCTCCCGATGCCCGCACGACCTGGCCGTAGTCCTCCGGACTCGCCGTTCTATGGTCCACAATCTGACCCGGCGTGAGCTCATGCTCGTCCACGGGCGTAAGCAGATCGACAGCGTTCAGGCTGTTGCTCCTACTGAGACCCGAACCCGAACCCGAACCGGAGTTCGAGTTGGACCCGCTGACGTTGGTCTGCGCAGTATGGAAGCTGCTCATGCTGACCGGCGTATGGCGTAGAACGTGTTCAGCGGGCTCGTTCGCTATCCGCGGTGGCTCTCGTGGCTGTCCAGGTCCCTGCGTGAGCGAGTTGGAGCGACTGGGAGGAGCGCTGGGTATGCTCATGGTGACCATGCTCATGCGCGTCGGCGCGCGACTTTGATTGCTGAGCATGCTTCCCGCGGTCGGACTTCGCGGCGGCATATCCGTGCCGGGTGTCGTCGCGAACGTTCCCATGCTCTCGATGGTCGGCATGCGACGGACGGGGCGGCCGAAGATGGCGACGCTCTCGAGAGGCGGTACGGGTCGACCAAACTCGTCGAGGGAGACGTATGGCGTGTGCGTGCTCATGACAGAGTGTAAAGGCGGTGTGCGCGGACTCTCGCTCGGTGGGCTGAGGCGACCTTCTGAGATCTCGCGAGAGACTTGACCGACGAGGTTGCGGAAGCTGGCGGCAAAGTTCTGCAGGTCTTGTGCTGCGAGTAGGTTGGCTTGTTCTGCGGAGGTGGGCGAGGGAAGGGAGCTGAGTGCTGGTCGTGACTCTTGGGCACCGGAGCCCGACTCGTGCGAAGAAACGGTTTGAGAACCAGATGAAAGGTCGGCAGTGGGGCCGAAACTGCTGCCTGAGCGGCGCTCCCATATTGAACGACGTGGGGAAGAGTTCGCTGGCGGTGTTACAGGAAGAGGAGGGTTCATCGAATCCCGACTTCGTAGGGTGAATGTGACGGGCTGTGGGGAGGTGAGTGCCGAGGACTCTGGCCGCTCTTTCGTGTCGTGTAGAATGGGACGCGGCGTTCGACGTGCCCTATTGTGGGCCACATAAGCTACATGATACGCGATCTGGAAGCACGTGTCAGCATGAGACAAGATGAGTAGATGGGGCAGAGACGTACGAGTGTGACTACAGTCAGCGCTAGCCGCGCACTCGCTGCAGCTATCCACACACCCCACACCGGTGACTGACATTGCGAGCCTACGCCTGCGGTCCAATCGACGTCGATATCCCATTTGCACCGCCCGCGTAACCGTACGGCCGAGTCGCTGTTGTCGCGCCACAGGAACACAAGTACAAAGTTCACGATGGCGGGTCCCAATATCAAGAGTGTGACAGAAGCGCGAGCTACGTGTGCTGCAAGTCTGCACCAGCGCAGCAAGTCCGGCCGAGCGCGCACGAATGGCCCAAGTACTGGCTTGCTCGAAATGAGCAGAAGCGACAAGCTCAGCGCGACCAACGAGGCTGTGCCTAAGGCGAGCGACAGTGTTCTTCGTGCCTGGGCCCGGTACATGACGAACGCAATGAAGTAGCGAACGCTGGTGTATGTCGCCCATGCCGCCATAAGAGCGAGTGTAAAGGTGTGAATCGCTCTCCAGCGGTGCATCCTGGTCCGCGCCACACGTCGCCAAGGCCTGTGCGGGTCGTGCGGGTTGAGAGGACTGCCCGAGAGACTGAGACCGCCTTCCCAGGAGATGTCGGCCCTGCTATGTTCGTGCGCATGCGAGTGCGAGTACGACTGCGAGTGCGGGTTCGAGTATGTGCGCGCGAGCATGTCATCGTATGGGTCTAGCGAGTCGACGCGAAGGAAAGGGTCGGAGGACTGGGGAATGGGCGACGAGACATGCGCCGTCACGGTGGTATCAGAGTTGGCGCGATGGTGGGAGGAAGAAACCGGGGACTGATGGCGGTCCAAGGTGGAGGACATGCCCAGAGGTCACCGAAAGTAGCCGATGAGGCTCCAGTTCATGCGCCCGCCCGGGGAAGCTTCTGAACCCAGAAATAAGGATTTGGAGAAGTTGGTCGTCGCGGACAGAAGAAGGCACGTCGGCTGAAGAGCTTTGGTCGAAGACGACGCTATGTGCAGCCGACGGCTGGAGCGGGCGCTCGGGTCGATCAAAAAGCTCAAATGGCAACCGCCCAAAGCGGTTGTGTTCTCGAACGTCAAAGTCAAACAGTGATGATGAATCTGTTCTGCACGCGCGATGAAAATCAAATAGGCGCGCGCTCTACCGAGAGACCGAAGAATATGGGAAGGGAAGAAGCGCTTGCTGCACGGCCTGGCACATTTTCTTATATGGGCGGTGGAAGTGGAACAGAAGGCACCGACGGCCGGCCGACGCGCCTGACTTCCTTTGCTCACCGCCACACGAATACACACGCGGCGCGTCACGCCTGACACAAGCGCCAGTTCATACTGCGGCGCGTTCTCATGCGATCCGATAATCAGACCTGAGTACAGCATCGTAATTTGGGCTACAGTACGCCATCTAGCTATGCTGTATATGTACTGGTGCGGTATATGCACGTCAACTCGAAACTGACCGTCTAGACCCATCAGTGCATCAGGCTGATGCCCTGCGAAATGCGCCCCTCCAACCGTCCTGAACGTTGACTTTGACCCCATCGGTCATGGTTCGGGCATGTACGCTGGGCGCAAGTATGTTCAGAGTTCAACGTTCAACGCTCAGCGCCGCTGGACTTCGACGGTCACAATTTCGGCCTGAGAGTGGGGCACAGACATTGAGTTTTCGGGGTGATTGTGGTCCTACGGGAGGTAGCTTGTCAGTTGAGGGGTACCGCGGGTATCGCATATGCAGATCCGTATAGAAGTAGAGCTGTCATACATGCATGTCGCTGCGTCATGGAAGGCGCTGGGATAAGTCCGGTAAGTGACTAGTCTGGATAACGAGCGCCGCTATCCGCGTAAACAGCGACAACCCGGATGAGCTGCTTCCAAGCCGTACAATGAGCTGGTACCGGTGCAAACTAATCCGCAACAAGCCATGCTCGTGATGTGCCTTGGGCGATTCCATAAACCGAGAGCAGCGCCGTGCGTAGAATCTCATTGATGTCAGAGCAGGTAACGGGTGCAGTCGATTCCGATAAGAGCCGTACGACTTCGTGCGGAGAGCGGGTTCGCTGGAACAAGTACCCTGTTCACGAGACCATGTCGCGTCAAAAGAGTGCATTGCGTAGCTGGATCATGGCGGTCAAGAACGAAGAAGACAACTTGTGGGCTATCAACAGAACCGTGATGCGTGACGTGACGACGGACTGACACGCTGTTCAAGCAAGCTCGCCGCGCGGCCGACACACCATTGTGCTTCCTAACGACGACGACTTCGCAAAATCTTCGAATTTCTTCGAGCACGCGTGGGCCTTGCGTGCAGTCGTCCGCTGTTGCGGTTCATGTATGCGAGAAAAGGAAGATCAGGGGGAAGTATTCGCATGCCCTCGGCTCAAAAGTGTGCAGATATGCCGGCGGTTCATTCTCATTGAAATTGGGTCCTTCATCCCCACGAAGGAACGCAATAGCCACCCAAAGTGCATAGTTCCTCATAGAAAAGATACCAGCAACGACTCTGCGCATGACCGACTACCCGATATACTCGACCATCGATTATCTTTGCCGTGATCTTCCGTGCTCAGATTGTGCCGTCGCTGTATCAGGCGTACGCGCGGCTTGTACCATTGATCGTTTACAGTACAATGTTTTCTGTGAAATGACATCATGTGAAGATATCCTACAAAAAGGTAATCTGCACGTCGCCCTTCAGTGCGTCCCAGATGCCCCACGAAGCTGAATCCTTGGAGACGACTACTTCTTGAAGAGGCGAGCCCTCGTTTTTACGACATGCGATACAGGCCGTCAACGCGCTTAACTCGGCAAAGAGATCTGATTCGCAATCGGACGATGCTGTGGTGCCGTGGAGAACTAAGACTCTGAGATTTGGGAATAGGGGGAAGTTCCCGTCGACGTTACAAGAGATGGCGTGCAAGATAGGGAGCCCTCCCGATATCCACACCCGGGCACGATAGATGCACGGAGCAGAGACTGTGAGCTGTTCCATGAGAGATTGCAGGTTCATATTTCTGTCGTGGAAGATTGTGATTGCGCGTAGCCGACCTTGGCGAAGAGAGGAAATATGGTCCTCGAGATTGACCCCTGTGATGCGGAGATATGCGAAGGGACCGAAAGATGACCATTCATGCGGGTACATCCTCTCGGGAGAGAGATAATCCGATTTGCGCCTCACGGAATGTATAGACCGCCGGGGCACTTCGTTTTTGAACGTCAACAGCTGAGTAGATGAGCAGAGCAACTCTGCTGGCCCTATGTCCTCCTCCTCCATGAAAGTGCATATGTTGAGGCAGGTGCCAACAGCCGCAGCACTAGCGTTATTGTCAATCGTCGAGTCGTGAAAGACGCTGGCCTTGCGGGTGCATGCATCTGGTAATAGGCTGTGAGACAGTAGCGTAAGGGCAGCCACTGCTGAAATTGCGCTGTATGAGGTGAAGTTGAAGTTTCGCAATGTCCTTGGCATATGTATGAGATCTTCCGTAGGATTGATAGGCACGACGTCCAAGAAATCGAGTTCACGGAGACGATGCATCATTGCACACATGTCTCGATATTGAGCGTAAGTGGGCTGCATCGAAAGATAATCTCCCCCGCGCATGTGTACTCTGAGACGCTCGAGGCGTGGCGAAAACATAGCCGAGTCCCAAGGGAATCGAAAGCCAGATATGGCCAATTCGGTGATGCCTGACAACGCGCAAAGTTGGGCGGGAAGCTCCCATGCTTCGTCAGCATCTTGCAAGACGAGAGTGAGAGAGCGTAGGTTGGGAAGGTATGCCGAGATGTCCGGAGCCAGTTGCGACACTACTTGCCCCTCGAATGACTCTAGGTATAAATGCTGCAAACGAGCACAGACCCAAGGGCGGAGCCAGTGTGACAAAGTGTCGAGATCGCCTTCATCGAGTTCAACGGCCATAAGATCGAGAGGGCATGTCTTAGAGCGAGCGAGTATGGTGGGCAGGTACGACAAGAGAGGCCTGGAGCTCCCACGGCTACCTGTCTTCGGTGAATAGGGTATCGAAGGACCTCAGAAAATGCACGTACCATCCTCCAGTGATGACATACATGTGTGACCGTTATCCAACCTGATTGATATGTAGGTCTTTCACCAGTCGTAGACGGAGAGGGGTTCTCGCATGGCCACCATTGGTCACGTAGGAATAGGAAGACATTGACCAGTAACTCCGAGGGGAGTTTGCATACAGCGGTGCACCCATTTCTCAGTTGTAGAGCTCTAAGCTTCATTTCGTCCAGCACACGAAGTTCCGAGTCCAGCGTCTCCAGTAGCGCTGTATGGCCGTTAGCCGTTGTGAACCTCGTGTCTATCAGAGGTCTCCAATAGTTTCTGAAGACGCTGGGTGAGTAATCGCGAGGATTACAGCTCTAGGGAATCTCGCCTGGCATTCTCCACTGCGTCGTGAGTGGGGTCCATGGTTTAACAAAGTAGTATCTGCCGATCGCGGGTGTTCGCTGGAGAGCAGGTCCGCCTGCGCGCGACACCGCGCGACGACAGAAAAATTCCGGCCCGACGAACCGGCCGCCGCGATCCATTCGCTGCCAGTCAGAATTTTTCTCTATCTCTACGTAGTCTCTCGCTCATATTTGATGCACTCAACGGGAAGATTTTTCTGCCGATGCAACTAGTCAATCATATTGCAGAATGTATCGACGCATAGTAGGTACGAGAGAAAGCTATCGTCGAACGTTCTCTACATTGATGCAAACCACTCAACATTCATAGAAAGAGATTGTGACGTCCCTTCGGAGAGCGTCCCAGACCCCCCACGATTCGGTGCTCCGCGACACGAAAATCTCCATGAGCGGCGAACCCGCACTTCTTCGGAGTTCAACAAGAGCAACGAGTGCCGTCAGCTGGGCGAAGAGTGTCGCCTCATTGGCATATTCAACATATTGTATACCCCGAAGCACTAGGATCTTGAGACAAGGGAATATCGCGAATTTCCCACGTTCGACTTTCATAAGCGCATGCAGGACTGCGGCGCTCCGCGAGAGCCAAAGTCCGACACGGTGTACGCGTGAGGCATGCGAAGCGAAACGAGGCATGAGCGATGCCAAGTCTGTCCTGGAATCGGGGGCAATCGTGATAGCGCGAAGATCGTTGAGACGGAGCGATGAAATGCCGTCGTCGAACGAGGTACAATCGACGCGGAGGAGCGTGTGCGCACCGGTTGCCGATCCAACACTGTCGTGTGGAAGAGTCCATGTTTGCAATAGGGCTGAGTCCAGAAAACGACTGGTTTGCTCGCGTTGCATAGCGAGAATTTGGCCATAGTTGTAATAGAGCTCCATTGGGCCATCCTCAGCCTCGTTGCCGAAAAGGTGGAAACGCTCAAGACAGCGTTTGAGAGGCTCACAGGTATCCAGTAGATGTTCGTCAACACGGTGTTCATCGTCGTGGATTGACGCGGATCGCATGCAAGGGTCTGGAAAACGCAGTTGAGGCAGGATGCTTAGGGAACGTAAGACGTTCGAGGATGTGTATGTTCGTAAGTTGAAGTATCTCAGTGTCCGCGGCATGTATATGATGTCGTCTGAGTGATCTAGAGGGACAACATTGTCGAGCCTGAGTGATTGTAAGAGCGGCATGCTGGAACAGAAGTCCTCGAAACAAGCGGATGTCGGCTGGGTGATAGGATTGCCGCTCATGTGGATCGTGAGCGTGGTTATACTTGTCGAAAAGATCGGGGAAGTCCAAGGAAGGCTGAAGCCCTTCAAGGTAAGGTCGGTGATAGCGACTATGTTGCAGAGTTCGTGTGGAAGTTCAACATCCCTGTCGTAAGGGCAGTCGGTTTCGAGATATAGGGTTTGTAACTTCGAGAGGTATGGTGATATCTCTGGCAGTAGTTGCTCGCAGTCATCGTCTGCAAACCCCTCTAGGTGCAAGTGCTTCACTCGGGAACAAATAGGCGGTGAGAGCCAGCCGACCAGGTCGTTTCTTTCGGGCGGTTCTGGCCACAACGCGGTAAGGTCGAGCGGATGATTCTTGGAGCGGGCAAGTATCGTCGGTAGGTAGCGCAAGGACGTGCCCAAGAATTCTGAGTGTTTTGCCCAAAGTCCGGGGGCACCCACTGCAACCTATTCGAAGTCAGTAACCGTATCTGTCATTATCGAGGACAATCTACGCACCTCCCTCCATTTACTACATACATGAGTTACGACCATCCAGCCAGACAGGAAGGAGTCCAAGCGTTCCGGAGCCCACATATCACGCAGGTCCGAGAAGATGTTGGTCAGAATCTCCGTGGGTAGGCTACACGCCCGAGTAGAGTTGTTCCGTAGGCGCAGGGCTCTGACTCTCATTTCGCGTAGCAATACGTCGAGCTCGCCATCCATCATATCGAGACGTGCCGGGTCGGAGGGACCCGAGAATCGTGCGTCGACAAGGGGTCGCCAATATTGCCTAGCGCCAGTCAGTTAGCGCGATACAGCGGTCGGTTGACTTGCAGATAATGCGTACCGTGCATTCTCTCTCCAGTCGGCAGCCATCTCATGACCTCAGCTGTACACTCCAAAAGCTAAGCGGATTCTTCCAGTGCCAGTCCCCTTGAGCGCGCGCACTAAATGGTTGTGGACGTGCAAAGCGAGATGCACCATGCGCGGATCCGTCTGGGCGCGACAGCGTCCGGCCCGAATGAGCCGGGGACTTATCAAACGAGTTTTGACTTGATGAGTATTTAGTCGACAGCTCCCGTCACCCTCGATCTCGCTATTCATTTCTAATGGCTGAATATGCATGACGTTTGACTGGTTGAAAGCGGGTTATACGTATATGGGGATAGATCGTAGCACTACGCAAAGGTAACTTGTACATCGTCCTTCAGCGCATCCCAGACGCCCCATTCCTTCGCATCCTTCGCCACTACAATCTCCTTTAGCGGAGCGTTCATGCTCTTCCGGAGATCAATTAACGCTGTCAGCGCCGTAAGCTCTGAGGAGAAATCCACTTCGTCGCTGCACCATACGACGCCGTGCAGAACGATCACCTCGAGAAGAGGGAACAGTCGGAACTTCCCGTCAACGGAATTGGCAAGAGCGTGCAAGGAAGCAAGGCTCTCCGAGAGCCAAATTTCCATGCGACGGACGCAGGAGGCGGTCGATGACAGACTATTGAGAAAAGCCGAATGATCGATGTCCTCCTGGGCTATAGTGACGGTGCGCAGGTCGTTCATGCGGAGGGATGAAATGTATGGTTCGAAGGCGATGCCCGAAAGCCGAAAGAAAGATAGCGGACCGTGTGTCTGCCGTATGTTGGCGGGCTCTCCCTCTGGTGACAACGACTTGATATTGCGGAGAAGCGTACACGTCCGTCGTTCAGAGGGGAGCACCAATAGTTCGCCGCGGGCATGAAGTAGTTCTATTGGCCCTTGTGTGTCCCCAAAAAGGCTGCATGCACTGAGGCATGCTTCGATGTCGCCAGGTCCTGCTGTCAGAGAGTACGCCGTGTTGTCCAACGTTACTATCCTCACACAGTCGCGTGGGTAACGGAGTAAGGCTAGCACCTTCAGGCCAATAGCACTGTTCACCGTAGAATAACAGTGAAAGAAGAAATGTCTCAAGGTGCCGGGCATGTGTATGGGTGCGGTGTCACCGAAGGGCTCAGTTGGCACGACATTGATGAGAGTGATTTGGCGCAAGGAGTGAAGGCCGTCGCAGATCGCGCGGAATTGCGCAAGTGTTGGATACGCAGTATTGTCAGCTGCATCCTGCTGTAGATAAAGTTCCTCCAGATTGGAAGACAAGATAGGCGAGTCCCAAGGGAACTGAAAGCCTACAAGATGGAGTCTTGTGATTTGAGTCATATGGCAAAGCGGGGGAGAAAGTCCGATGTTGGAATCGAAATCCTCGCTTTCGAGCTCGAGCGACCGTACGTTGACAAGATGTGGAGCGATGAGTGGCATCAGCCGTGCGTAGAATTCGTTGGTGTAAGCGCTCAGGCGAAGGTGACGGAGGCGGAGACAAATGGATGGACAGAGCCAACCTATCACTTCGCGAAAAGTATCGTCGCCAAGTTCTGTGGCCTCCAGATATAATGGATGAGATTTGCAGCGAGCAAGGATCGTAGGAAGGTAGTGTAGTGGCGTATATATGAAGTCGACTTGTCGCGTCCAGAGGCTGGATGCCCCGATTGCCGTCTAAGATCTGTGAACAAAGATGAATGCTTACGATTGAGTGGAGCAGACATACATTTCTCCATTCGCTGCAGACGTGGGTCACGGTCATCCACCTCATCTCGAACGGGCCTCGCTTCTGAGTACCATCGTTTGTCGTCCAAAACTCGCGCCAGGGAACCCAATCGTCTCGTAGGTACAGGAATATCTCCGTCAAGACTTCTGGCGGAAGGCGGCACGCGCCTATGCGCTTATTGCGCATCCGCATGGCCGCATGCACCACATCTTTCAGTGCAGATATCTCAGTGTCTAACGCGTCGATATGCGCAGAGGCCAACGAGAATCGAGCTTCAACTAGAGGTCGCCAATATTTTCTGCCCACAATGGTAAGCGACAAACATGACGTCGAATGGAACAGACCCACTCAGCGTTTCCCAACAAGTCGCTGGACATTTGGGGCAGTATGCGTAACACGGTGGCCGCACAAAGCGAAGGCGCGACTTGTTCTGCGGTGTTCGCGAGAAGGTGGGGAGAGTGTGGGAAGAGCACGTGCCGGGTCAGGAGGTCTGTCGGTGCGCGTCTGGTCGGTTGGCTCTGTTGGCCATCTACTGGCAGAAAAGGAGGGGCGAGTGACTACGGCTCGCACCTCTAGCGTGATGGACACGCCGCCAAACAATATCCACACGATCGTTCGCGCGCAGATCGTCTTTCTGCTCTCGACACTTACAGAAGAGAACTTTGCGCACAACCAGGCGGAGATCCGCTCGGTGCGTCCATATATGTGGCTTGTATATGGGCGATATAAATACTGATAAATATTCTAGTTGAGCGAGCAGCATGGGGTGGAAACGTATCTGCACTTTATAAGAAGGTTGATCGTGCACTCGCAGGCGCGGTTGGCGGGAGCACCGGGTACCGGCGCGTTCGACGCGAGCAGCGGCCTCACCTTCCGGCTGCTGGTCCAGGAAGCTCAGCGCCTGGGCAGGGATCCATTCCTGGCCGACCGATTCAGGGACGGGATCGACCGCGGGGACGGCGACGTCTTCAGGCACTTTGACCTGCTCCGCTTCAACGAGCGCCTCGGCCTGCGTCCCCTCGAGCGCCTCGTCCTCGCCAGTGCAGTCGTCGCCGGCCCGAATGTCCGGAAAGAACTCGTGCAGCAGGCTTTGGCCGTGATCAGGATCGAGTTTGATGCCGCCGTATATTCGCTCGCACACGAGCCGGTGGAAATGTCGCCGCCCCAGCTGGCAAAGCTACTCTCGAATCTGCTCGCACTACCATCTCCAGACACGCCTGCTCTCGATGCTCCACAACGCGAGACTTTGATTGCGGCCGCTCATGCGAAGTATGGACCAGAACTGGTGGCGCCGATGCTTCAACAGATTTTTCCACGCCTCAGGTATGTTCATGTCGTCCTAATCGATCAAAATGCAAGTTTAACACCGCCGCATAGTCTGCAGCCGGGAACATCGTTCGTCCAAGCATTCAATCAGCTGGGACCTAAGGCGACGAGCGACACTGAGGTCGTACTGGCGCTCTTACTCCGATTCGGTACAACTGAAGCCAATCCGCCGAGCGATGCCCTTGTGCTCGAGTTCATGCACATATTCGCACGCCAGACGGTTGAGGGTGTTGGGCTGGGTGACGTAGGGGCCTTAGTGCGCGCTTTGAGCAGCCTCGTAAGTAAAGTTTGTTGAAGTCCGGTGGCATGCGCTGACGTATTCCATTCTGGCAGAATAACAGCATTCAGTGGTCAGACGCGATCCGGGCATTCGATATCCCCGACCGAGGTGGCGTTGATACGGCTACACTCAAGTTGCTCATTGCCATTCTGGTCAACAGTCCACGCGAGCCTCCCGAAGGTGTCGACCACGCTGTCACCGGCTTCTGGTCTCCGTGGCACAACACTCTCTACCAGTTGCGCTTACTCGACGCTCTACTTTCCTTGCCCTCGGATACCTTCAGCTTCTACAGTCTCCCGGGCCGCCGCATCGTCACCATGGAAGACGTCACGAACGCGAGCCCGACCATCAAGACGCTCGCCGCGAACGTACAAGGCAATACGTGGAACAGCCTCGACCTTTTCGAGGTATTGGTACGGGCTGCGGAAAGCGAGAACGAAATCGTTCAACAGTGCGTGAGGGAGATGTTCGACAAGGCGATGCGAATCAGCGCCGAACTCGTACATATGGGTCTGCTCGAAGCGCCTCAGCCCGTCTGGTGCCCGATCAGGAAGGAGTACAGCGACAAGCTCTTATCCATGTTCCTCGCTGGTCATCCCAACCATCAGCTCGTCTTCATGCGTATATGGCAAATCCGCCCGGCGTACCTCACCGACGCGTTCCGCACCTTCTACGAAGAGAACCCGCTCAACATTACGCGCATTCTCGACGTCGCGCAAGACCTCAAGATCCTTGATGCGCTCTTGGATGTCCGGCCGTTCGCCTTCGCGCTCGATGTTGCCAGTCTGGCCAGCCGCCGGGAGTACCTGAACCTCGACAAGTGGCTTTCTGACAACATCAATGCCCATGGCGCCGAATTCTTACACGCGATCATCGAGTTCTTGGATGTCAAGATGGAGAGCGAGAAGACTGCGCGGGTGTCGGACCCAGCGGAGGAGAGCAGGACAATGCCGCTCAACCCGCATACCATCACCGTGTTCTTGCGTTTGCTCCGAAACAAGTACGTCGCCTTTGTGGTTCCAGAAGATGACGCCTAATAGGTTATCAGCTCGCAATTGATTCCCAAGGACGACGTCGACTATGCGCTCGACGTGCGCAACTTGTGTCTGCAGATGCACCCGCGGCTCATGAGCCTCATGCCCAACTCGGACACCGAGCCCGGTTTCGCAGTCGTCAACTACCCCGCCGACGTCGAAGCTGAAGTCGACGGCATCTTCAAGCGCATGTACGAGGAGCAAATCACCATCGACGATGTCATCGCGCTCCTGCAGCGTAACAAGGCGTCAACGGTGGAACATGACAACCAGATTTTCAGTTGCATGATTCACTTCCTTTTTGACGAGTACAAGTTCTTCCAGACGTGGTACCCTGCACGCGAGCTCGCCATGACCGGCTACCTCTTCGGTTCCATCATCCAGTATGAGCTCGTGGACTACATCCCACTCGGTATCGCCATCCGCTACGTCATCGACGCGCTTAACTGCCCGTCCGAGACCAATCTCTTCAAGTTCGGTCTGCAGGCGCTTGCGCGTTTCGAAGGGCGCCTACCGGAGTGGCAGCCGCTGTGTCAAGCGCTCTTGGATATCCCGCATCTTTCCGACGCGCGTCCCGATCTAGTGATGACGCTGCACCGCGGGATGGCGCAGAATGGTGACGCTGGCGCGAAGATCGACCTCGGGCTTCGTACGGGCTCCGTCCCGCCGCTTCACGCACACGCCGAGCAACCGCCTTTGTTCACATCCATTCGACCGGACACGGAGTTGATGGAGCGCGTATCGCTCGAAGAGCCGCCGGAGGACGTGAGCGACCGGATCCTGTTCATCATCAACAATCTCGCGCCCATCAACTTCGACGCGAAGCTAGAAGATATGCGTGGCGCGTTCGAAGATGCGTACACCCGTTGGTTCGCGAACTACGTCGTCGACCAGCGTGTCTCGTCCGAGCCGAACAACCACGCTCTGTACCTAAGGTTCATAGACGCCATGGGCAAGCCGATGGTGCATAAGCTCGTCTTGCAGGAGACGGTCGCGAAGAGCGCGCAGTTGTTGAATGCCGATAGGACGATGACGAGTGCGGCGGAACGGACGGTGTTGAAGAATCTGGGCAGTTGGTTGGGAAGCATCACGCTCGCGAGAGATAGGCCAGTCAAGTTCAGGAATTTGAGCTTCAAGGATCTGCTACTCGAGGGATACGACGCCGGGAGACTGTTGCTCGCCATTCCATTCGTGTGCAAGGCGCTCGAGCCAGCTGCGCGCAGCTCGGTGTTCTTACCGCCGAATCCGTGGCTTATGGCCGTCCTTGGCCTGCTCGTGGAGCTATACCATTTCGCGGAGCTGAAGCTCAACCTCAAGTTCGAGATTGAGGTCCTGTGCAAAGCGCTTGACATCGACATAGACGCCATCGAACCGAGCATTGTGCTTCGCTCGCGTCCTATCGCTGGACCAGAGCTTCCGGACGCTGTTGGGGATATCGACGCGTTACCGATGGGAGGATACGATCCGACCGGCGGTGCGCTTGGTGATGCGCAGATTCTGGCGCTCGGTGGAGGTGTTCCGGGTGGTCAAGCTCGCGCTGTCGACGTTCAGCTTGAGCAACACCTCGGCGAGCTCGCGCAGCGTGTGGCGATCAATCCAAGCTTCGTGCCGATGCCGGCCAACGCGCACAGCGCGGCGCACTTCAAGCGCGCGGTGCAACTCGCTGTTGACCGTGCCGTGCGGGAGATTATCATGCCAGTCGTCGAGCGCAGCATCACTATTGCCAGCATTTCTACGCGCGAGCTCGTGCAGAAGGACTTTGCTACGGAGGGAGACGAGAGGAGGGTCCAAGGCGCTGCGCACGCTATGGCGCGGAGGTTGGCGGGTAGTCTGGCGCTCGTGACGTGCAAGGAGCCGCTCAGGACGAATATGGCGGCTCATGTACGCACGTTCCTCAGCGAGCACGGGTTCAGCGAGCAGGTCGTCCCCGACACCATCGTGTTGTTGCTCGTGGAGGATAACATCGAGGTGGCATGTGGCGCGATCGAGAAGGCTGCGATGGAGCACGCCGTACCAGAGGTTGACAGCTCGTTTGCGCCTCTATTCGATGCTCGCCGCCGGCACCGCCAGACGAGCCGCGCGCCGTTCTTCGATGCCGCGAACGTCGTTGCGCAGGCTCATGCTCAGCTCCCCGACCCGCTCCGTCTCAACCAGGGCGGCGTTACTCAGGAGCAAATGTTCGTTTACGAGGCGTTTGCCCGCGAGGCCGATGCGTTCGGGTTCAAGCGTGTTGCAGGTGTGGTACAGCAGCCGTTTGTTAGGCCGGAGAGCGCGGCGGGGAGCTTTACGGGTGTTGGGCAGGGCCAAGAGGAGTATTTGGAGAGTCCGGCGCCGAGCATGATGCAGGGGCAGGATATTCTGCTTGCGCACCAGGAGACGAGCGAGCGGTTCAGCGTGCGTGTTTTTGTCCCATTTTCGATGTTCGTTTGTTAACTTGTTTCTGCCTCAATAGGCGCTTGCCAAGGAGCTCGACACGCGCATCGCGCAGGCACCATTCCCGACGCTCAACTCCCTCCCGCCAGGCAGCGACATCCGCCAGATTTCCCGCCGTATGCTTGGGCTTGCGCTCGGCACCACGGACCGCGCCCGCACGCCGATCACGCTCACGCAGCGTCTCGTGCAGAACCTGTACAAGGCTTCAACGGCGCTCGGACGCGAGGTGTACTGCGCGCTCCTTCAGAGCTTGTGCGAGACCTACGAGCACGTCCGCGCCGAGGCGCTTCCGTGGCTCATCTACAGCGAGGACGAGCGAAAGCTCAGCAACCCAGCCGTCACAGTCACGCTCCTCAAGAGTGGTCTGGTACCGTTCGCGGCGCAGGATCAGCAGCTCGGCAAGAGTCTGGCGGGCGAGCCCAAGCCCGCAGTTCAGAACTTCGCGGCGGCACTCATTAGGGAGTGTCTGACCGCCGACCCGCCGTTCGCGAATCAGGCCAGCTTCCCGTTCACTATCGAGGTGTTGGGCGAGATTGTCAAGGCTGGTAATGCGACACACGAGTGAGTGTTCTTCGTAGGCTTCCCTATAACGTTGACTAATGTGTGCGTTTAGGACACAGCGTCTGATCGACGACTTGCGCCCCATCCGTCGCCCTGCTTCCACCGACTCCTCGGACACCTCGGCTCTGCGCGAGAAGCTCCTCATCTGGTTCCAGCAATGGGTTGGCCTCTTCCAGCGCTCGCCGGCACCGGAGAAGGCGTTCGTGCCCTTCATCACGCAACTCACGCGTCAGGGCATCCTCAAGATGGACGAGACGAGCAGCTTCTTCTTCCGCGTGTGCGCCGAGGCCAGCGTTTCGAGTTACCTCAAGGCCGCCGCGCAACAGGACTTCAGCTACGCGTACCAGTCGCTCGACGCGATGAGCCGTCTGATTGTGTACATGATCAAGTACCACGGCGACGCTTCGGGCATCGACAACACGCAGGCGAAGGTCCATTACTTGACCAAGATCCTGTCGATCTTCGTCTTGGTCCTTGCTGCGACACACGAGGAGCAGGGGAGCGCGTTCCAGCAGAAGCCGTTCTTGCGCTTCTTCAGCAGCCTCATCAACGATCTCGCCACCGTCGAAGACAGCCTGGGCAACGCTTACTTCCATGCGCTGTTGGCGATTGGCGACACGTTCAGCAGCTTGCAACCCACGTACTTCCCTGGCTTCGCATTCAGCTGGATGAGCCTCATCAGCCACCGCTTGTTCATGCCGAAGCTGCTTATGAGCGCCAATCGCGAGGGCTGGGCCGCCTTCCACAAGCTCTTGCTCGCGCTCTTCCGCTTCCTCGCCCCCATCCTCCGCTCCGCGCACCTCCAGCCAAGCTCCCGCGATTTATACCGCGGCGCGCTTCGTCTGCTGCTCGTCCTCCTCCACGACTTCCCCGAGTTCCTCAGCGAGTACTACTTCTCGCTCTGCGATGCCATCCCGCCGCGTTGCGTGCAGATGCGCAACATCATCCTCAGCGCCTACCCTACCGACCTCATCCCGCCCGACCCGCACCTCCGCGGTATCCGCTTCGACGCCATCCCCGACATGGGTC